CAGCTATGACTAGGGTCAACTGCTTGTGTGGCATGCTGCAGATTCCTGTTGCCAGACATAGGGTCTTCCAGCAGCCACCCTAATGGTCCACATCTAGGCCTCTATGTTGAGTCTGATGTCCTCACCAACAAAGTTACTTTCTTATCAGAACAATCAGAGTGAGTATTCCGAGCTGCCGTATCTTCGTAATCACTATTAGACTCATCCAATTCTTTCCGGATCCTCTGCACAGTTCTCAGATTGACACCCAAACATTCTGAAATTTTCGTATCGGAGCTTCCAGCGCGGATGTTAGACAGTACAGCATGCTGTTTTCAAATTTCTGGCAGATTTGCGTCATGGGTCATGGTGCTCTTTTTCCCACAGACGGTGCCCAACTGACCCTACTATACTGTGCAGTGAACAAAATCAAAAACAAACAACGCACATGCGCGAAATTCAAAATATAAAATGGCGACAATTTCCCTATCGCACACAACATCTATCTATCTATCTATCTATCTATATATATATATATATATATATATATATATATATATATATACACAACATCTATCTATCTATCTATCTATCTATCTATCTATGTATATTTAAAAAAAACAGACCAATTAAAGTTCCATTATAATAAGACGCTGGATGATCAGATAACACTTCCAAAAAATGAAACGAAATATATATATATATATATATATATATATATATATATAAGAAGAAAAGAACAATTAAAGCTTCAACCGAGAATAATATATGAAGAATTTCAGGTATTTTTATTTTGTATCTTTGATTTTCATTGGTTAAGTAGAATTCACCTGCCCTTGACATGTCAAGCAGCGTTCGTGTATACAATTTATGTGTATAAGTATATCATAATTCTAGTATATATTCTGTATATATGTTTGTTAGTGTTTAGTAGGTATTATTTATGTTTGTTAGTTGTTCGCGTGTTTATTTGGTGACGTTTTTACATCAACATCAATCGGGGAAAGAGTGGTTAAATATACGTTAGATTCCTTAAGAACGCACTTAATAAGGGTTTGTTGTGTAATATGCTGCATTTGACGTGTGTTTATAGTAGGTAACAATTTTATCAAAACTTCCTCGAAGTATATTCGACGGGAAGAATTATGTTCTTTTTTTAATTCGGGTGGCATTCGTAAAATATGTTTAACCAATGGAAATCAAACAACACAAAATTAAAAATGCTTAGATACCTCATTCTCTGATGAAGCTTTAATAAGGTAGATATACATGAATAATATAGATATATTTTTAACACCAAGAAACTGTTTGGAGAAATAGCTGACTAGGTTATTAGTTTTTGCTCTACTCATTGTATTGGGCACTTTTACGTTTTAACAGAAGTTACTCTGTCGGTGTGTTTTTTTTTTTCTTTTGGCAAGATATTGCGGTGCTGATTGATCATTTACAACCGCTACGGATGTTTGTAGTCTTTTCTTTCTTTATTAATTTTTTTTTTTTACCCGATATCGGTATGTTTAACATTCTTTATTTACAAATACTAAATGTGTATTCTTTCACACGGCCCGAATATAGATCTGAGAATATATATATATATATATATATATATATATATATATATATATATAGATAGATAGATAGATAGATAGATAGATAGATAGAATTAAGTAATTAAAATCTTGATAATTTGTATGGATAATACCAAAGAGGATGATATCCGGAGAGCTCAATGTTAAATCAGAGCGATTAATTTAATTTAATGAAAACAGACAACTTTATATAATGGTTATAATTTATTTCCCCAGCGAGTTTCTTTCTCCCTGGCTCATCAGAACACACTTCCAAGTGTCTGCACGTCAAATTATATATATATATATATATATATATATATATATATAATTATGTATTTGGATGGAAACCATCTGTTATACAATTTTCATTAAAGACAACTGAAAAGGTATTGCAATTAAGCTTTTATTTCATTCTTCTTCTGTTTGATTATGAGTTTTCTTTTCTGAACATAAAGTGTGTAAAAATTGTCCAAATTTTATGCATATCCGAGCACTTTCGACTATTCTTTTAGCCATTATCAAGGATGACATTTTTTTAATTTTTAACTGGCTATATGGATTTTTCATGTATGTATTTAGAGTTATAGCAATGCTTTATTTCCTAAATACAGTGAGGAAGGTGTTACTTTACAACTCTCTGACCATAGAGTTCAATTAGGATTCATTTAAATACGCGCTGAAACCTACCAAACCTCATCAGCAACATGTAAACAAATCCTAGGATAATAGGCTTTTCTACAATATAAAATAATGAAAGCACTAATAATAAAAATGCCAAAACTCAATTAGATCAACTATGAACACGGCCATTGTGCTGTCCGTGTTTGAAAAATAAATATTCTTATAACTCTAGATACATATATAAAATTGTACACATTCATTTAAAATTAAAAAAAAAATCATCCTCGATAATGGGTAAAAGAATAGCCGAAAGCGATCGAATATGAAGAACATTTGTATAAGTTTTACATTCTTTATATTTTTTAAAAAAATCACTTATGCGAACACAAGAAAAAAATTAAAAAAGCTTAACTGCACTACCTTGGCAATCGTCTTTCATAAATAATAAACTTGCATATATATATATATATATATATATATATATATAGAGAGAGAGAGAGAGAGAGACGTTAAAATTCCTTCCACCTACCGTGCGACGATGGCCTAGAGGAAGATATCTGACGGATATCAAATCTGTTAGTTATATATATATATATATATATATATATATATATATATATATATATATATATATAATTATTTATTTAAAATATGATTCCAAATCGCTACATTTGGAATCATATTTTAAATAAATAATTATATTTATGCTCTACTTTTGTATCGAGCACTATTTTAAAAAATAATAACTAAAATACTAAGGGACTTTGGATTATTTACCTAACCAGTTCCTTCCCTATTTTCTATATATTTTTCACACACACACACACACACACACACACACACACACACATATATATATATATATATATATATATATATATATATATATATATATATATATATATATATATATATATATATCCTTCGGTAAAGTGTGTCTTTATCTAAAAATAAATATGCTTAAATTCACATTAATTCCTGCCGCTTATTTAAATCCAGTTTCGATCCTAGCTTGAAGCAATTGGACGTCTAACCACACTGAGTGGTTGTGATACAGCAAACAGCCTGTCGTTGACTATATATATATATATATATATATATATATATATATAAGAATATAAAATTATTTAGCCGGAGTGAGACCAGAGGTGAATTTTTCAACCATTTATATTACTTGGATTCTTTCTGTTTTAACTCATTTGTTTATCAGACGCACCCAAAAACATTGAATAACTTTAAAAAAATTAAATATGAATGCAGTAAAATGACAGAGGAAATTCCCCGACATTTTAATGAATCATCGAGGCACAGAATCTGAAATGAAGGAGGCCATTTTGAACAACACATATTACAATTAAGTAACTCTTAAATAGAATGTTCCTGTGTCATTATACTTTTAATAAATTATCACCATGCTTCACGACTTTCCCTTAGACTGTCTATATATAAATCTCTCTCTCTCTCTCTCTCTCTCTCTATATATATATATATATATATATATATATATATATATATAAACGATCTCTTTAATCTATGTTCTTTTATTGTTCTCTCTCCTAAATAATGTTTCCTTTTTCTAATATTCTCTCACACTCGGTAACCGCTTGCGTCTTAGTGAATTTATTGCCTTGCTTTGCTTGGAGCGAAATGATTTCATATATAGTAATAATCGTTTAGTAAAACAACCTGAGATAGCACAACCTGTAGATATGCCAAAACAAATCGGTAGCCGATTACATATATATATATATATATATATATATATATATATATATATGAGTATGTGTGTGTGTGTCTGTCTGTCTGTCTGTCTGTGTGTGTGTGTGGATTTACATTGTGTTTTATATATGGCGATATTCAATATACGCAAAATAACTGATTTTAACCTAAACAGGATACTAGCCTAAGCAGCGAAAGCTCCCTGAAGTCGCTGATATTACGGACTATTTATGTTTTCGATCAAGACATATTCAAAAAATATCTGATGTTTTGACCTATGGAATTCACTTCTTATTATCATAACTAGCAGAGAGCTGTCGAGCACTGGACTCTCAGAGGCTTAGTTTGTATGTCACTTTGATTTTAGTTGCATGCCATGTAAAAGAAGTATGCGAGTTGCCTGACAATTGAAAGGTTTTCCATTGTCATTTCACATTCGTTTAGTTGCTGGATTAGGAATACCGACGTGTCTACGTTTTTCTATTCATCTTCAGGCGTAGATATTAATATCCGTATTCGATATTCGAATTCTAATCGGCTTCATTCAATCACACGAAAATACACTTAGGAAAGGTATGAATCCATCTCTACTCCATCTCAGGGTATGACAGGACAGAGTGGGTCCTATAGTCTTAGTTTTCAACCAGTGTATAAAAGAAAGAAACGCCAGCTTACTGCGGGAATATCTTCTGCCTAATCAGTCATGAATCGAAAGAGGCATGATTGCTCAAGCGTGTATATGGTGTCGATGGCCCAAGGCTCCCATATGACAAGAAAAACGTACTCAGATTTTACGTCATGTATTCAGAAGTGAACTAAAATATTTCTGGCGACAGGGGATTAACTCAAGTAAGCTGATCTGTACTGTACAGTAGAAGCTATATAGCATATTTGTACTATATTAGTAGTATATTAGTACCATATGATAATTTGTTAGTACTTACAGCTTTAATTTAGATCATTTTAAACGTAAGAAATCCCGAACGCTAAGGATCAGTGTGTTAAGTTACGAATTTTCTGATATAGAAAATGACTGCCCTACAAATGTGGCGCCTGTCGCCGACGTCCATCTATCTCCCAGTTTGTATTTCTCCCTTATCTTTTTGATAGAATGCGGTGGTAAACCAGCTGACGTGTACTTCTTGTTGGACTCGTCTAGCAGTATCTGGCTGCCTGATTTTCAGAAGCAATTGCGCTTCGTCGAGCAAGTGATCGACCTTCTTAACACTAACAACAGTAAAACTCGCATCGGCCTGGTGACCTTTAGCAACCAAGTGCGACTGGTAATGCGGCTCGGCGCGTCCAACAACACGAAGCAGATCAAAGACATGCTGAAGCGGCCTGACCTCTATTTGACAGGTGGTTCCACAGACACGTCTAAAGCAATCAGTTTTGTGCGCGACGTCGGCTTTAACGCCAAAGAAGCTCGAAGCGGTGTTGCCCATATTATGATTGTCATTACCGATGGCCAGTCAACTGATCCCAAGGCGACTGCCCACCAAGCGAAACTGGCACATGACGCCGGCATTTACGTGTTTGCCATTGGAATCGGAAAGGAGGCAGATTACCAAGAGTTAAAGCAGATGGCCAGTAACCCGGACGTTAATTTCGTATTCAAAGTAGACATGTACGACGCACTCGAATCGATCAAACACATCTTGGTGATCAAAACATGCAAGGGTGAGTTTCCAGAGTTAGACGTCCTTGTTTTTTATTATACTAACTTTTTTTTCTCGTTTTTAATGACGGATAAATGTTTTTTTTTTTTTCTATTTAGTTAACGCTTCGAAAAAAAATGTCCTGCTTTATGCCATGTCAGGGGAGATAATTCAGTTCTTGTTCATTTTATCAGACGACATTTATAGATTACTGTCGTTTTTGCGCTTAAAACGATTCGTTTATATTTCTAATCTGGGGAAGTTCCCGTAATTAGAACTTCTATATTGCAAAAGGAAGAGCAGTGTCATTAGTACGGGCTGTTATTAGTGAGAAGGATAGAGAGAATAAGAATAAGTTGTTTTATAAAGATCAAACATATTTGGTTGAGTCAAAAATAATTTCTGTTTTTCCTTATCAGATTTATTCGTCAAAAAGTGAAGTACAAGTATATAATATTCAATTGTATATTCACCATTATTTGCAATGTCTTGTTGGCAGTTCTTCAATAGTTTTGAGTCAAATTCCGTATGAACTCTTGAATCTGGGTTTCATTAAAGAAAGCTTTCTCCACCAAAGAGTTTTGCAGCGATCAAAAAAAAGTAATAATCAGGTGAATATGGCGAATGAGATAGAACAGACTAACCGAGTTCCAAAATTTGTTTTGTGTTATTCTTGATGTATTCGGTCTTGCGTTGCTATAAAGAAGAATAACATTTTTAACGCTTATCTTGTCAGGTGAATATAGGGGGTCGAGTAGAAGAGACCAACCGAGTTCCAAAATTTGTCTTGTGTTATTCTTGATGTATTTAGTCTTACGTTGCTCTAAAGAAGAATAACATTTAACACTTATCAGGTCAGGTGAATATAGTGGGCGGGGTAGAATAGACCAACCAAGTTCCAACTTTTTCTTGCTGTATTCCTTACTGTATGCGGACATGCGTTTTTATAAGGAAAAACACGTAGCCAGTTCTATACAAAATTTAAGGCACGTTTGTTTACTCCATATTTATACCTAACCATGACAATTAGTTAGGATTATGCAAGTGTCATTAAAATAAGTTTCCAAAAACGGAAATAACTTATGACTCAAAACTTAATAAAGTGAACCAAAACATTTTTTATATATCATTAACTGTGTGCCAAATTTTGTCACGGCGAAGCAGCAGCTAAACATTTCTTTATGTGCCGTGTCCCCTCAGAACGTAGTCGGTCATGGCTCTCCACAATTTCCTGTCCTTTGTGGCTCTTAATAAACTTTGAAATTCTTTTATTTCTAAGTCCTGTTCCGCTATCTAAGCTATGGATATCACACTTTGTTTTCCTCTGTCCCTCTTGCCTTCAATCTGTCTTGTGAGTATCAAATTTTCCAAATCCTCTTTCCTCGATGTACCCTGACTCTTCCTGACGTTAAGTATAAGTGTCCTTTTTTATTCTATTTTTCTCTAAAACTTAGTCGTCGCTCACATATTCGGTTCATAGAATCCTCAGCATCATTCTGTAAAACCACATTTCTGCTGTTTCAAATTTCTTCTTCATATTTGGGGAGATTATCCAGCATTCGTTGATGAGGACAGCTATCATATAACAACAATTCGGTACTTTATGTATATTTAACATCCACTTTTTTCTGTTTCTTAATACTTTGCTTAGCTTTTGAAAGGCATCGTTCGCTATCCCAATGCGCCTTCGGATTTCAGTGTCGCACTTTCCGGCCTTTGTTAAAACACTTCCAAGATATTTAAATTTTTCTATTTCTTAATACTTTGCTTAGCTTTTGGAAGGCATCTTTCGCTATCCCGATGCGTCTTCGTATTTCAATGTCACACTTTCCGTCCTTTTTAAAAAAACTTCCCAGTTATTTAAATTTCCCTGTTTCTTAATACTTTGCTTAGCTTTTGGAAGGCATCTTTCGCTATCCCAATGCGCCTTCGGTTTCAGTGTCACACTTTTTCCGTCCTTTGTGAAAACACTTCCCAGTTATTTAAATTTCCCTATTTCTTAATACATTGCTTAGCTTTTGGAAGGCATCTTTCGCTATCCCAATGCGCCTTCGGATTTCAGTGTCACACTTTCCGTCCTTTGTGAAAACACTTCCCAGTTATTTAAATTTCCCTATTTCTTAATACATTGCTTAGCTTTTGGAAGGCATCTTTCGCTATCCCAATGCGCCTTCGGATTTCAGTGTCACACTTTCCGTCCTTTGTGAAAACACTTCCCAGTTATTTAAATTTCCCTATTTCTTAATACATTGCTTAGCTTTTGGAAGGCATCTTTCGCTATCCCAATGCGCCTTCAGTTTCAGTGTCACACTTTCCGTCCTTTGTGAAAAAACACTTCCCAGTTATTTAAATTTCCCTATTTCTTAATACATTGCTTAGCTTTTGGAAGGCATCTTTCGCTATCCCAATGCGCCTTCGGATTTCAGTGTCACACTTTCCGTCCTTTGTGAAAACACTTCCCAGTTATTTAAATTTCCCTATTTCTTAATACATTGCTTAGCTTTTTGAAGGCATCTTTCGCTATCCCAATGCGCCTTCAGTTTTCAGTGTCACACTTTCCGTCCTTTTGTGAAAACACTTCCCAGTTATTTAAATTTCCCTATTTCTTAATACATTGCTTAGCTTTTGGAAGGCATCTTTCGCTATCCCAATGCGCCTTCGGATTTCAGTGCCAAACTTTCCGGCCTTTGTTAAAACACTTCCCAGATATTTAAATTTCCCTCTTTCTTAATACTTTTCTTAGCTTTTGGAAGGCATCTTTCGCTATCCCAATGCGCCTTCAGATTTCAGTGTCACACTTTCCGTCTTTTGTGAAAACACTTCCCAGATATTTAAATTTCCCTGTTTCTTAATACTTTGTTATGCTTTTGGAAGGCATCTTTCGCTATCCCAATGCGCCTTCGGATTTCAGTGTCACACTTTCCGTCCTTTGTTAAAACACTTCCCAGATATTTAAATTTTCCTATTTCTTAATACTTTGCTTAGCTTTTGGAAGGCATCTTTCGCTATCCTAATGCGCTTTCGGATTTCAGTGTCACACTTTCCGTCCTTTGTTAAAACACTTCCAAGATATTTAAATTTCCCTGTTTCTTAATACTTTGCTTAGCTTTTGGAAGGCATCTTTCGCTATCCCAGTGCGCCTTGGATTTCGGTGTCACACTTTCCGTCCTTTGTTAAAACACTTCCCAGATATTTAAATTTTCCTATTTCTTAATACTTTGCTTAGCTTTTGGAAGGCATCTTTCGCTATCCCAATGAGCCTTCGGATTTCAGTGTCACTTTCCTTCCTTTGTTAAAACACTTCCCAGATATTTAAATTTCCCTATTTCTTAATACTTTGCTTAGCTTTTGGAAGGCATCTTTCGCTATCATAAGATATTTAAATGTTTGCGCTTGATTGATTCTGGTATTTCCGATTTGTAATTTGCCCCTTGGTCTCATGCTTTTACTAACAACCATGCAGTCCGTCTTCTTGCAGTTTATGTTTAGTTCTTTTTTCTTCTTGCTTTCATCCACAATGTTCTGTAGGAGTAGTTTTCTTTTTTTTTTTTTTTTTTTGTAGTTTTCTGTCAGCCATTAAGCACTACGACATTCATATAGGTAAATATAGGTTAAGGTCCCCAAGTGTAGAAATTTAAATGAATGAAAATGACACGAAAACTTAAATGAAGATGCAAGACGCTGTGAAGTATGTTACCCTTTGGATTGTATCAGTCTAGCGATTGTCTTTCATCTCGCATACAGGGACCTGTGTATTTTTCAATGCGCCCACGTCGCTACCGAATTTGACAGAAGGTTATTTTAAAAAAATTCTCAAACTCCCTCACCACTTCCCTGTTTTTGAGGACCCCTTAGGCGCCGGGTAATAAATCTAGACACCTCCCGAAGGAGAGGTGCTTCCTGGAATGATGGCCCCTTGGGGCTTGGGCGAATATTATTGGCAGAGGAACGAACCGTGGTGTGGTCTATCTTTACTGCTTGGGCATCTATATAGTCTATGCTTTATTTTTTTTTTATGTGCCGTGTCCCTTCAGGATTTAGTCGATCATGGCCCTCCACATCTTCTTGTCTCTTTTAGCTATTAATAAGTAGTATTTTTTTCAACCCCCTATTCTACCATCAATTTGGTCAAGCTCGGAAAGTATGTTATGCGCTTCTTTCGACTTTTAGGGATGCTAATTAGGCAGTTATTTACATATCATCGCAAAAGAATTTCAAAACAAATTATTGGGATTAAAATAAAATATATTTCTTGGCAGATCTTTTATTATCACAATGTGGCATATTGAATAATAAAAGTGATGGAAACATAAGCAAAAAAGAATCTAAATGAAATCGGCTAGATTACAGACCCAAAACACACATAATATATGTGTGTGTGTGTGTGTGTGTGTGTGAAAATATATAGAAAATAGGAAAGAACTTGTTAGGTAAAAAATTATTAAACCTTACGCCCCCCCCCCATTTTTTTCAAATAATTGCTCTAGCTGTTACCATAGTAATTTTAATTTTAATAATGAATATGCTTATAAAAACGCGTAAATTTCAAGAATTAGTTATTCAAAAAAAAAAATTTCGCTTGAAGATGGAACAGAGCTTGGTACGTTATTTCAATTTAATTCAAATAATTATATTGAAGTTTTCGGCTCTTATTTTGAAACATAAGAACTCTTATGTAGCGATGGAATCATATGTTTATATAAATAATTATATATATATATATATATATATATATATATATATATATATATATATATATATATATATATATATTATTGATGCATGTTTCATTAAATAATATACAGAAGTTCTGCCTATTTATTTTAAGTAAATTCCTTTCATAATTTCTGATAAGCTTTAATAACATTGTCATTGAAAGATGAAAGAAAAACATCATATTGATACATGTTTTTTTTAATCCTTGCTTACAAACAGAACTGTTCATAACCTTTTTTGGTTCTCACCAGTCGAGGTGCAATTGAAACGAAACGAAGTTGCATCTTTGTAGTGAGTAAGCAGTTT